CCCTAAACCCTAAAACCTATATTCCCTTACTTGGAGGTTCATGGGTAGCTAGAAGTAGGGTTAGAAGTAGGGTAACTATAGTTATAACCTATGTTAGGGGACTTGTAACTCGACTTAGAACTACCCTAAACCCTAAATCCTAAACCCTAAACCCTAAACCCTCAACCCTAAACCCTAAACCCTAAACCCTACCCTATGTTAGGGGACTCATAACTCCACTTCTAACTACCCAATGAACCTCTGAGAAGGCCTCCAGGATCCTCACCCCTCCCTCTTACTGATCCAAAAAATTCCTGCATTGCGTTAGGGACGCTAAACTATGGGAGTTTTGGTCTATACCTTATTATGGGTAATGCTCCTGCATTACATTAAGGACCCTAAACTATGGGAATTATGGTATATTCCTAATTCTGGGTAATGCAGGATTTATATCATCAACTGTCCGTCCCAAGCCTATCACACTTCCCGGATCCTCGAGTTCTGTCCTCCAGGACCAGCTTTTGGGGCTTACGCTGCCCCAGTTTCCCCTAAACCCTAAACCCTAAACCCTAAACCCTAAACCCTAATCCCTAAACCCTAAGTACCTCAAACCCAGCGTCCTGATTTGGGGAAACCGAGCCTGCCGAGCCTGGCGAAGATGCTGCTCTGCCTTCCACTTTTGGGGGCGGCTTCCTGTTTTGGGGGTTTGGAGTTTACGGTTTAGGGTTTGGGTGGCTTCCTTTTTTGGGAGTTTGGAGTTTACGATTTAGGGTTTGGTGGCTTCCTTTTTTGGGGGTTTAGAGTTTAGGGTTTAGGGTTTGGGTGGCTTTCTTTTTTGGGGGTTTAGAGTTCAGGGTTTAGGGTGGCTTCCGTTTAGGGTTTGGAGTTCAAGGTTTAGATGTGGTCCCGGGTTGAAGAGGGTGTAGTTTTGTTTGAAGCGTGCTGGTCCTGGCCGGTGTAGGGTTTGGGCTTTGGGGTTGCTGTCTGGGATGTCGGATTTGCAGCAAAGAGCATGCTTAGGGCTTCAGGGCTACATGGCTCTTCAGGTCCTGAAGCCTTCATTCTAGGCACGGGGGCTAAAGCCTCCTCACCTCAGGATCTCTTCCTCCCAAAGTCTCAGCAAGAATTGCCTGCCCCGAGCAAGAACGATCACGCCACTTAGAGTTTCCCTAAGCCCTAAGCCTGCAAAAACCACCATCATGAGCCCAGAATCTTCCCACCACCAAAGCCCCCCAAAACATCAAACCTATCTCCCCGAAAGCCCCTAAATCCTAAACCCTATAAATCCGTAAACCCTAAATCCGAAGCCCTAAACCCCTAGAAAACCCCCAAATCCTAAACCCTATAAACCCCTAAACCCTAAATCCAAAGCCCTAAACCCCTAGAAAACCCCAAGTCCTGAACCCTATAAACCCCTAAACCCTAAATCCTAAGCCCTAAACCCCTAGAAAACCCCCAAGTCCTGAACCCTATAAACCCCTAAACCCTAAATCCTATAAGCCCTAAACCCCCAGAAAGCCCCTAAATCCTAAACCCTATAAACCCCTAAACCCTAAATCCTAAAACCTATAACCCCCTAAACCCTAAATCCTAGACCCTACACACCCCTAAACCCTAAATCCTAAGCCCCCCAAGGCGCTAAATCCTAAGCCCCCCAAAACCCGACGTTGCAAGGTCTGGTCCTGCCTCCGAGCTTCGTCGCACTCCAACCTGCTCCCAGGCGGGCGGAAGACCTGCCAGAGCTTTGAGGGGTTTAGGGGTTCAGGGTTTTGGGGTTGAGGGTTTAGGGTTTAGGGGTTGAGGGGTTGAGGGGTTTAGGGCTTAGGGGTTTAGGGCTTATGTAGGTTTAGGGGTTTAGGGTTTAGGGGTTTAGGGGTTTAGGGGTTAAGGGGTTTAGGGGTTTAGGGGTTTAGGCTTTAGGGGTTTAGGGCTTATGTAGGTGTTTAGGGGTTTAGGGTTTAGGGGTTTAGGGGTTTAGGGTTTAGGGGTTAAGGGGTTTAGGGGTTTAGGGCTTAGGGTTTAGGGCTTTAGGGGTTTAGTGGTTCAGGGTTTAGGGTTTTGGGTTTAGGGTTTTGTGTTTAGCGGTTCGGGGTTGAGGTTTACGGTTTTGACGGAAGCTCGAAGCCCGAAGACCCCAAAGCGCTACAGAGGAGCTCTTGAAAATTCGGGCCACCTTATGCAGGGGTTTAGGGCTTATAGGGTTTAGGGTTTAGGGTTTGGGGTTTAGGGTTTGGGGATTAGAGTTTAGGGGTCCGCATGAGTGGGTTCTAGGGTCTATATTAAGGTCCCCCACTCTCTGAGACTCCGACACAACTCTCCCCAAACCCGTCCCTCTGCCCTGGAAGCCTTGATGAGCAAACCCGGTCGCCAGAAAACCGTAAGTCACAAAACCTTAACCCTAAACCCTAAACCCTAAACCCTAAACCCTAAACCCTAAACCCTAAACCCTAAACCCTAAACCGAACACTACGCCGCCGTAAAGACTCGCCTCTCTGTTGTAAACCCCTTGCAAAACCCTGCGAAGGCTTTACCCTAAACCCTAGACCCCCAAACCCTAAACCCTAAACCCTAAACCCTAAACCCTAAGCCCAAAACCCTAAAGCCTAAACCTAAACCCTAAAACCCTAAACCCTATACCCTAAGCCCTAAACCGTGAGGGAGCCTCAGGTCGTCGAACCCGAAGCCCAGCTGCCCGTAGGCACCGAAGCCCCAGAGGTAGAGCAGCCCGCCTCTCAGCGTCGGGTGGCTGAATTTAGGGTGGGGGTCGGGGTTAAGGGTTTAGGATTTAGGGTTTAGGGTTTAGGGTTTAGGGTTTAGGGTTTGGGGTTTAGGGTTTGGGGGTTCTGGGCATTGTGGCTTTCGGATTTAGAGTTTAGATGGGCTTGCGGTCTAGCAAACAGCCCTGAAAGCGTCGAGGGCGCTCTGGAGCCTCCAACCTCAAAGATTAAACGGTTTATGCCAGACTCCAAGTCTATTGCTGGACTATATAGGCACATGAGTCATGACTATAATATTACAATGAACCTTTAATACTTCGATGTTCGGTACTCTTGGAATGGGGCTTGAAGGGTTTATTCTACAGAGCTTTAAACAGGACTACAGTATTTGTTACTAACTATTCCCAGCCCTATATTACTCCTGGGGCATCCTATGAAGACTGAGACCACTTGGAGGTTCAAGGGTAGTTATTGGAGTATAAGTCCCCGAATAGATGCTATAGCTAGGGTTATCCTACTTATAAACCTACTCATAAGTATAAGATATCCTACTTATAACCCAACATGCAGATACCCATGCATCTCCAAGCAAAGAACGTGCCTTCAGTCACGCAGGCCGCGTGCGAAAATCCTGCAGCGACCTGAACGAGCAGCAGAAAGGAGCCTTTGGACTTCAAGAATAGAAGCCCTACTTGGAGGTTCATGGATAGTTGTCAGTGGAGTTATAAGTCCCCTAAATTAGGTTATCACTATAGTTACCCTATTTATATGCCCACTTATAACTACCCATGAACCTCCAAGTAAAACCTAAACTGTTCGAAGAGTTGTTTGGGGTATGGCAATAAAAGGGCTTTCGGGGGATGCTACGGTTGATGATATAAATCCTGCATCACCCATAACAAGGAATATACCATACTTCCCATAGTTTAGGGTCCTTAAGGTAATCCAGGATTTGTATCATCAACAGTATGGTTGTTCTGACCTCATACAGTGGCGCTTCAGAACTTCAGGGTGAACAAATTAGGCTGAACGATAGGTCATGTGTGTTTAGGCTGATCGTGACATGGGGGTTTCCGAAAATAGGGGACCCTAATATGGCACCCTAAATAATAGGATCCTTATTATAAGGACCCCAAAATAAGGTACCCCCAATTTTCGGAAACCGCCAGACATGTGCCTAGCTTCCATTGGATCCATCCACAAGCCGGTGCCCAAAGGCCTCACCTGGAAACTCCCAACTTCCGCAGCCCGGTACATTCCTTTAGGGTTTAGGGTTTAGGGGTTTAGGGTTTAGGGTTTAGGGGTTTAGGGGTTTAGGGGTTTAGGGTTTAGGGGTTTCAGGGTTTAAGGTTTAGGCACTCACCTATGAAACCAAGCCTGAGCAAAGTTGCTGCAAAGCTGTGACGGCTTTGCGGGCTTCTGCTCCTAAACCCTAAACCCTAAACCCTAAACCCTAAACCCTAAACCCAGGGCTTCTTGTCTGGATATGAGGGGCATCCCGCTGCCTCGAACCCTAAAGGCTCTACCCATAGGCCCTATAGTAGTTCCTGTTTGGGGTTACCTTATAGAGTTCTATATATGAACCCCAAAAAGGAGCTTTAGGGCCTATGGGTAAACCCTGCTAATCCGTCCACTCTCAACAGCAATGTAGGGTTTAGGGTTTAGGGTTTACATACAGACTTGCACATTAAAGTAACGTTCCCTCCGGCCTGCATGACCTTGACCTGGTAGAGAGCATCCACCTGAAATTGCCAGGCGTGCTGCTGATGGACTAAATCCTGATCAGTGCAAGGAGTATACCTGAACTCCCATGTTCTGGGGTATCGCACAAAATCGACAGGACTTTGCACTGGGAGGTAGTGGTCTTTAGGTATGTCGGGTTCAACGTCTGGGTTCCGAGGCTATTTCAGAAGTATACCTAGAGCATAATTCGAGATCAAGTTTTGGAAGGTCCAGGTAGCGTCGATTCTCCGGGCCACTGAAAAGAGCTTTCATTCTCATTAGTTCTGACACTTGCCTTAGAGGAGTGTGGCTTTGCAACCTGAACAAACGCACCCTAATTGGGATGCATGGATCCAGGTTCAACAGTTTCAAGATTCTGGGGCGGGTGTAACGTCCATCTCAACTTGCGGAAGAGTTGAAAAAAAACAACCAAACTACGCATGAGAGTCGAGGCACTATAGGCGGACAGGTGGGAAGTACAGAGTTGTAGAAAGTTGCCGTTGTAGCATGGCTCTTCGAATCTTGTAGGTCAGGCTCAGGACTGCATTAGGGTTTAGGGTTTAGGGTTTAGGGTTTAGGGTTTAGAGTTTAGGGTTTAGAGTTTAGGGTTTAGGGTTTAGGGCTCAGGGTCTGAGGCGCAAATCGCCGCGTGGAGCCGAGAGCTTAGGGCACCTTACGCCTTTTTGTTGGTTTGGTTTAGGGTTTAGGGTTTAGGGTTTAGGGTTTAGGGTTTAGGGTTTAGGGTTTAGGGTTTAGGGTTTAGGGTTTAGGGTTTGGGTTTAGGGTTTAGGGTTTAAGGTTAGACTCGAGAGCCAGGGCCAGCAAGCTAATATAGGGGCCTTTATGTTCGAATAGGGTTTTCGGGCCCAATATACTAAATAATATAATAAGGACCCCTCCCCCCCAAAAAAAAACAAAACAGTATTGGCAATTATAATAAAGACCCCCCCCCAAAAAAATAGTATTGGTAAGTATTTAGGCCCCTATATTATGTCGTGGCTCTACTGAGCTCAAGTTCCCCTGAGCTAAGCAGACCTGACACAAAGAAGCCAGGGCCAAGGGCTTCAGACTTTAGGGTTTAGGGTTTAGGGTTTGTGGATTAGAGTTTCGGGTTTAGGGTTTAGGGTTTAGGGTTCAGGCTTTAGGGTTTAGGGTCTTTTGTCCACACCTTTTTCAAACTGCACCAGAAAGGTTTAGGGTTTCTGGTTTCGGGTTTCGGGTTTAGGGTTTAGGGTTTGTGGTTCAGGGTTTAGGATTTACGGTTTAGGCGTCGACCGTCCGTGACTTTTTCAACTGACGCCGCGGCGGGCTTGGGCGTGGCAGCACCGCGCACGGAACCACCAAGGCCCAGCTCACCTCATCTCGTTGGGCTTACTTGGAGGAAGCGATCCTTAAAGGGTCCTATAAGGGATCTATAATAGGGTTCTATATTAGGGGCCTTAATAAGTAAAACAGGGCTTGTGGGTTTATAGGGGTTACTTGGAAGTTCATTGGGTAGTTATAAGGCTCCTTTAAGGGATCTATAAGAGGGTTCTATAAGGGCTCTTGAAGGGATCCTATAAGGGTTTTATAAGGGGTCATATTTGGAGGTTCAACCTATGTTACGGGACTTAAAACCCCACTTATAACTACCCATGAACCTCCAAGTAGGGTGTTCAGGGCTAGAAGTCATGATTGCAAGGAGCCTCTTGACAGGTCCGTTCCTGTACAAACGATAGCAAAAGCAAGGCACCAAGAAAAGCAGCAACAACAGCATCCAACAGCCCAACATCCAACTGCTTGGAGCCGCCAGCCAACAGAAAACGGCCAACCGCGAACGGCCAACAACAGCGAATAGCCGGCAGCCAACAACCGGCAACCACAACAGCAACATCATCATCACTACCTCGTCATCATCGTCATCGACGTCTTCGTCGTCATCGACGCCATCGTCGTCATCATCGCCGTCGTCATGACCAGCATCGAAAACATGAAACTTGTCATCATGCAACGCGTATGCGTGTCACACTGTGTTTGGGAGAAGGCTGCTTCATGAACTTGGCACCGACACTCGAACCTGCGAGGAATTATACGAGTCCTGGCCATTGACATACTTGCAAGGTAGCTGATTGTTATTAGTTTGGTGGTCTTCTGGGGCTTTGGGGGTTTCGGGGCTTCACGGTTCGCGGATTTGGGGGTTTTTGGGTGTCTAGAGGCGTGATGGACCTTGGCTTATTATCAGTGTTTGATACTGAAGGTTGCAGGGCTCTGACTATGAAATGAACCATATGAGAGGCCTCAAAGGTGGATCAAATCTGGTTTAAACCGACCCGGGCTCACAGCTGCTTCCATCCTGAATCTCATCCTTACGGCTTCGGGTTTACGGTTTGGGGTTTAGGGGTTGGGGGTTTGGGATTTAGGATGTGTTAAGGTTAATCGTTAATCTGTCAATGGAACTAAGCTAGAGGCAAAAAGCCGTGAGCACTGTCAATCTGTGCGCCAAGCACTTCTCGTTGCTGCCCCAGCTGTACACCTCAGTTCCAAAGGCGAAGATGTCCATGAGTCCAAATCTTAAAACCCACAAATAGACCCTTAAACCCTGACCCCTAAACCCTAAACCCAAATAATGTCCCCAGAGCCTGAAGCCCAAACCTCCGAAGAGGGATTTTGTAACTGAAACCGGCCGAAAGTTTCGAAACCTCAGTCTTTGGGCTTTGGATGCTGGCGGGTTGAAGGTTTGGGGAAAGAGCGGGAGCGTGCGGCCAAGAACGTCTGCCATGGCTCTGCGCCATGACGGTAGTTAGCGGTAGTTCATAACACTTCAACGAGCCCAGCATCCATACAAGCAGCGCAAGAAAAAAAATGGCAGGGTCTGGCACAATAGTTGCGACTATGGCAGTGGAACCCATATTCACAGCAGCCAGGCGAATGCCGGCAGCAGCAACCTTAAGCCGATCGCCTGAATAGTCGCAGCAATAGCCACGCTGGCAAACAAGGTTCTGCTTGTAGCAGATTGTACCACCGGCTACCAACTCATAATATTAGTTAGGATTGCAAAAGCTTCCTTTATACATTGCAGGTTATTGATGTGCAACATCGAAGATCAATCATTTTGAAACAGACAACGCCCAAAAATTGAGGCCGTGCATCCAGCAGCGAATACTTGACATCTACGAAATTCAACAGCTGCAACCTGTTGCTTAAGTTCGAAAGTATTGCAAATCGGGTCACAGAAGTGACCCGCGCCAGGGTTCAAAGGCAACTAGTAATTCGTGCGCGCACCAACTCCCGTCAGTCGACTTTTGTTGTTGCCTCATAGTCAAAGACAGTCAAGCTCGCTGCACAAGAAGGCATGGACATGCTCGGCGACTAGAAGCAGAGAACAAGTTGGGAACGCAAACTGAACCAGAGAAGAACGCAAAGACTCAGTTTCTGAGTTCCCTGCCGAAAAGAGACTTAAACCCTGTTGAAACAGGGCTACATAAACCCCAACCGGGTCACCTACCCAGCTACTAAGAAGCATGGTCTGGAACCGAAAACCTTGCATAGAAAGCGAAGTGCGACATCTGCCCTAAATTTTAAGCAGCTGAGAAATACTGAGAAAGCCATCGCCCCAAACCGTGAACTCTGCGCGCCCCGATTGGATTCTGAGACCTGTATACATGACGAGTCCTAAAGCCCCTTCTACCGAACTGAAATCAATAACTGGTCGGCTTCCTAGCTATGCCCGACAACAGAATATGGGGACCATAAGGGGATACTTATGCTGCTACTACTACTACTACTACTACTACTACTACTACTTGCTCCGATGCTCGCCCCCACAAGACTTTTCCTCAAGCCTCCGGCCCAGCCCTGCTGGGTGACTGCGAAGGAGCCTGGCCACAGGGTTTAGGGTTTAGGGTTTAGGGTTTAGGGGGTTTTGGGGTCTGAATAGGGTTTAGGGTTTAGGGTTTAGCAGATTGTGGAACTCGCTGCGTCGGGTTTCGACGCAGTGCAAAGTTTAGTTTCGAGCTGTCCGGATCAGGGGGGTTTGGGGCTAATAGGGTTTATAATACTTGCCAGGGTTTAGGGTTTAGGGTTTAGGGGCTAATAGAGTTTGGTGGTACAAGGGTTGATTTGGGGTGTGGGACTGCGGATGAGAGTCTCTGGCTCAATCCCAAACCGCAAAGCCCCGAGCAACACACACCCAGCGATTAAATCCCGTAGGTGTTTGCATATACAGATCCTGGCTTGCAGCAGACAGACCTGTACGCTTAACTCTGCACCACATGCGCTCAAGGATGCTCGGGCACATGATCATGAAAACTTAAGCGATGAGGGCTTGCGGTATGGATGGCGCAGGTGCCTGGATCGAAGGTGCATTAACCATGAACCTTAGACCCTAAACTGCATTCATCCGATGTGGATTGTATTGTCCAGAGAGGACTCGAGGGTGGTTTACACGTGACTGGACACAAGAAAACAAAAGCAGTCAGAACTCCGAATACTGTGCACTGTAAGTAACACAACCTATCAAGTTCCAACCCAGGTTCAACCTGGGTTGAACCTGGGTTCAAGGAACCTGGGATCATGCCGGGTTCAAACCCAGGTTCAATCAGGGACTCAAGGACCAACCAAAGAACGATGCAGACCCTCAACTGTCGAACCGATGCCCTGACACTAAACCCTTCATACCCAAAATCGCAAACTCTGCTGTACAACTTTGGAGTTTCGTGCCAACGGCTTAGTTCGGCGTTTAGGGTTTAGAATTCACAAGATCTTTATGGCTTAGAACTCTTCAAGCATGTGGGATTCGGGGTCTTAACAAAGTCTCAGCGGTTTAGGGTTGAGGGCTGAAGCTTTGGATTCAACGGCGCCGCATTTGTGCTAGGCGCAGCACTCGCGAACCCGGCGGCCAGGGCTTTAATACCTCTGCTGGTTACTTGGAGGTTCATGGGTAGTTATAACTAGGGTAACTATAGATATAACCTATATTAGGGAACTTAAAACTCCACTTATAACTACCCATGAACCTCCAAGGAAGACTGCTTGGAGGATAGGGTTTCGCTGACGGAGCAGGACCACCAGCTCAGGAGCCCTAAGGGTCAATATGGGAAGAATTAGAATAGGGTTTGGGGGCCCATGATACGAAAATAATCAGAAGGAACCCCCAATAATATTATAGGTAAATGTTTAGGCCCGTAGATTGAGCCTTAAAACCCTGAACCTTGACGCTTACACCGGATGCTTAATCGCACGATGCTTTACACGGAGCCTTCCCTACTCAGCCTACCCGAGTCTCTCCGGGACTATATCAAGGCTCCAGCTGGACTGGGGCTTTGAAGCTTGGTAGGGTTTAGGATTTAGGGTTTAGGGTTTAGGGTTTAGGGTTCAGGGTTTAGGGTTCAGGGTCTTAGGGTTTAGGGTCTTAGGGTTTAGGGTTGAAGCTTGGTTTGGGGCTTCACGGCAGCTCTTTCGGGAAAGTGGGACTACCCCTGAAGCGACGAATCTCCCCTCAAGTACAGTATGAAGCCGCACAAAAAACTCCTCCTTGATTGAGAGTATGGGGTTCTGGAACCATACTGTTGCTCCAAGAAAGGGTGATGATCTCATGATTCCACTGTTAAGGATGTCGACGCTCCTAGAACTTACCCGGAAGAGCGACCTGGGTCTTAATATTGACGCACAGTTTGAGCCCACAAGGTCGGGATATACTAGAACCCCCTCTTTGTGTAAGCCCCTACAACCCTAAGCCCTAAACCCTAAACCACTAAACCCTAAAAGCCCTAAACCCTAAACACAAAACCCCTAAACCCAAGAGCTTCGTTTTGGTCTCGGGTGTGGGACTGAGGGCTGGGCCCCCAGAACACTGCGCCGGAAAAGAGACCTCACAACATCGAAGAAACGCGCGGTTCGGGGTTTGGGGTTCAGGAGTGGTGGAGTAGCATCAACTTGCCGAGCTATTCCAAGCAATATGGTTAGGGGGCGGGGGTTTATGGACACACTGACCCGGGCAGCGATAGGGAACACAATGGACAATCAACAGGGCCACGTCACCAGCACCGGAAACGAGGTGTGACTCTGACCGAGAAAAGGGACGTCTGCTTGAGTGCATGAGGCCACAAACTGCAAACACCCAGCTGCAAGATCCTCCAGGAGAGAGGGGGGACAGTGACACCGAATCGGGAACAGGAAACACTGAAACACCGAGACCAGGAGGAGGACCGGGACCGACTCGGGATCACCACCTGAAGCAGCATCATCACCATTTTGAAATAATCATGACCCTGGCATGATCATTGTCTTGCCATCATCATGACCCTCTAGCGTCTAACTTGTTGAAAGGGTCTGGGGGGGGGGGGGCGGGCTTGTAGGACCCAATTTTTCAAAACCTAAATCCTATAGACCCTATACGCTCAGCATACTAGGACTAAGACATATATATATATATAGCGATATATATATATATATATATATTTATATATCTACATACATATAGTAGATGGGCCGTGAAGGAATGATGCTACCGTTCTTTGGAAACGACCCACAGGGCCAGCGCAAAGAGTTCCAAAAATCCTACGTTCCCACAATCCAAGAACCCAGATAGAGCCCCGGAATTACATGACTTGATTCTCTTAGAAAAAAAAGAAAACGGGTGGTTTAGATCCACAAAAATACAAACAACAGTGAGACTTCGACACGGGTATAAGGTTTACAGGTTCCTGTAAGTAAGGGTAGTATGCAGGGGTTTAGGGTTTAGGGTTTCGGGTTTCAGATGGTCTGTGGTTGGTTTCAAGAGTCGGTGCAGGCTGTAGGGTTTACCCGGGAGAACTACCTATAGGCCCCATAGTAGTTCCTTTTTGGGATTCCCTAATAGGATTCTAAATATGAACCCCCAAACGGAACTACTTTAGGGCCTATGGGTATACTGTATACTGACACTCAATTCAGAAACAGTTCCAAGGCCTTGCCAGGAGAAGGGCCTCGGTAGCAGCACATTTGCAGGGACTAGATGCTGGTTCAAGGGGGTAAGGACTGCTTGGAGGTTCATGGGTAGTTATAAGTGGAGTTATAAGTCCCCTAACATAGGTTATAACTATAGCTACCCTACTTATAACCCTACCCATGAACCTCCAAGTGGTGCTTAGGATTGGATGTGCAAACCGCACGAACACCATTGCCCCGCCCAAGTCTACCTCTCTGCACATCAATCTAACAGTCTACATGTACGTTTCAGCTGCATTCAGCCGTCGCTCAAGCTTTTCACGGTTCCGAGGTCAGCAGTAACAGGCTCAGAGCCTAGGGTTGCCACCTGTTAACCCATAAAGCCTGAAGCCCTGCACCCTCAAGAAAGCTAAACGTGCCATCAAACATCAGCCCTTAGTCCGGCACATAGCTGCATTCACAAGCAGCCAGAACCGCGACAAAAAGCACGATCACTGCCACCTATGACGAAAAAATGACGATCACCATGAGGATGTCGATTACGACTACTGTGACGACGACGGCGGAGACGATGAATGCGACTGTTACAACGACGACTGCGCCAAACTCCCAGCTGCAACTTCTCAACCCCATGCCCAACCCTCAGAATCTGTTCTGAAAGCTTGTGTGCTACACACCCGAAGCATAACCCCTGCCCAATCATTGCACCCAAATCCAAAGAAGACTCTAACCCTGACCACAAACCCTACATCGCTCGACCCCTAAACCCGAAACGCCCAAAGCCCATAGGGGCCGAAATACTTACCTATACTATTTAGGGGGCTTCTTATCATGATTATACAATAATGTGCCCCGAAACCCCATTCTAATTATTAATATATATATATATATATATATATATGATTAAGGCCCCCTACATTAGCGTCGAGACATCAAATAAGTCGTCACCCGGGCACAGCGTCGGCATCCGCCGAGGCCCAGCTGGCCCAGTGCGCCGGCACCGAAGGCAAAGACATCGCGCTCCTGGCCGTGAACTTCCGGGGTACCCTAAACCCTTAACCCTTAACCCTAAACCCTAAACCCTAAATCCTAAGCCCTAAAAATTCTAAACCCTATACCTTAAACTCCGGGGTGATTGCACTTTAGGGCTCTAGAGCT